TGTCTGTAGAATGCATTTTGACATCATACATAAATGGAATGTAACTTCTCATTTTTTTAGTTGATAGAGAATTACGCCAGTTTTGTAATCATATATGCATATAGGGTAATAATAACTGATTCACTCCAACAAAACTGTAGATATCATAGCAGGGGCTATTTGGCTTAACGCTATATATGGTGTGCATTGGTTGCTGTTATTGGTTTCCCCCTTCAAGGCAAGATACTGGAAACCTTCAGAGACACTACAAGTCTATAGGGTAGAAACTGTACTGCCTCAGATCCACACTGGTAGATGGATAGACACACAAATATGAAAAAAAAAGTGAACAAATCATCCCAAACAAACTAAGATGCACCAACAATATAATCCAATGACCCCACAGTGGAAGAAATGTCAGAAAAGGAGTTTGGAGTGTCCATATTTACACTGATCCCTGAGGCAAAGGATGATATAGGGAATGAAATCAGAGATAAAATTCAGGAGATGAAAAATCACTTCAATAAAAGAGGTTCTGAAAAGAAATCATGCAGAAATTCTCAAAAATGAAGCACTCAGTAGATCTAAGAATTCAGTGGGAAGCATCACCAACAGACTAGACCACTTGGAAGACAGAACCTCAGGCAATGAAGACAAAAATATATAATCTTGAAGATAGAGTTGACCACACAGAGAGAATAGGCTATTTTAATACACAGTTCCCTGGTCTTGGGCCCTGCAGCAGGAGTTCCTATCAGCTGGTTAATGGAGGTGTGATTGCTGGGCAAGTGTGTCCAGAACATCTTTTCTGAATTGTGGTCATCTTTAAAAAAAAATGTAAGCATTGTTGCAGAAATTTTTCATTCCTAGGAGGTGTGCAAAGCAGGGGAGGGTTGTAAATCATGGCAGCAGGTAGAAATAAGTGAGAAGAAATAATTTGGGGGCCATGAGAAAGAACTTGGGCAGGCAGGCATAACTTCTAGCTCTGGGACTGAGGAGAATGATTCCATCTTGGTATCAGCTCTCACTTTTACTAATCCAGTCGCACTGGTTGTAACTTCTCAGATGAGAGAAAGGCAGCAGGTGGACGCCCCTCCCCAGTACAATTACGACCGACCACGTCCTCGCCCGTCTTTGTGTTTATCGTTATGAAGTGTACTGAGAATAATGGAAGCCTTTTACTTACCCACAAAAGTTTTTGATTTCAAGGGGCTAAGCACACTCATTTAACTGGCCTTTCAAGTATAACTCCCAGCATAGAGTATTAATATGATCCTACTTCTCTAGAGCAGGTGTTGGCAAAATTGTGTAAAAGGTCACAATAGATTTTGACTGCCATCTCTGGTGTCTGTTATGGTGGACAGGCCCAGCCCCATGAGGGCACGAGCTTCCCACAGTTGGTGCTGCAGCTAGCTGGGCTGCAGCTGCATCATCTTCTTTATTTCACTTTGCACCTTGCCCGTGGTCTCCTGGGGCCACTTCTAGGGAATGTGACTGCCTGTCAGATGGAGTCAGCATGCAGGGAGAAATAGCACGTAAGAGAGATTCCAGCAGTCCCTACTGCTTTCAGAAGAGCCTCTTCTATAAGGACATCATCATGTTCCTGAGCTGAGATTGGGATTCTGGGATATGCTGCCTGATCCTTGCACTTAGAGTGCCTTCTAAGGTGGCATAGAGCTCAGAGAGTGCTGGTCCCTGGCCCCACTACAGTTAGTAGCTGTGTCTAGGGGTCTGCATTGTGTCTGGGGACTTATATGTCCAGCTCAGAAAACACCAGTTCAGTGTTTCTCAGGAGACCTGATACCTCAGGCCTTGGAAGTAGCATGCTGCCTCTGGTTTCCCCTCCTCCTTCCTGTATGGGAGATATCCAGGGCTAGAGAAGAGACCTGTTTCCACTTGGGAGCCCCCAATTTTAGCTGTTCTCATCTAGTGTGGTGTAGAAGAAGGATGTGGACTTGTGGAATTATGGAAGATGCATTAGATGGAATCTGCCTTCAGCTGCAGAGGTCCAGGGAGAGTCCCTAGAGTTGTAGGACACAAAGCAAGGTGTGTGGACTAGAGTGAGCAGATAGTTCCCTAGGTGCTCGGATGGAAGGCAATAGATATGTTCTGGATCAGGGGCTCTCTGTTTCCTCTCCAAGCAGGGCTTTGCTTTGTCCTGCTTCTGTGTCACCCCTGGGGGACACCTCACAGTCAACTTTAGGACACCTCATTTGGACAGGGTCTTCCTCCTGCCTGTTTCTCATGGATTGCCTTCCATCTTGGGGTAGCTGACTGGTCCAAATTGGAGCAGCCTAGGGGTTCCACGGGACAGTCATGCCATTGAGGACAACTACCCTGGGAGGAAGCTCAGAGGTGGCACAACTGTGCAGAACAAGCATAGAGCTCATTCCTTTCCTTCTTTTCCAGCTTTGCACAAATTTCTGAATACCTGGATTTTCCTCCTGCACAAAAACCTGGTGCAAAATCAGTATGCTCACATCTGGGCACTTTTCAAACCAGGGCAGAGCTGCTGGGTGGG